CTCGGGTCCGTTTCCCCCCCCCCCTCCTCACCTTTCATCTGCTAGCTTCACCCCATCATTCAGAATCATCTGGATTGTCGTCGTGATGATTTCTCCGCAGTCCTGCCGCGCGTGTCAAACTCAAATCTCAACCGACGGGTCAAACCTTGAGATCAAGATCTGCATGCGCCGACAGGAACAGCAGGCAGGAAAGGTACCCGCACCTCCCGTAGAGCAGCTCTGCCACCCATCAGCATGGGAACAAGAGCAGCAGCGATAGCATCAAGCATCATCATCATCAGCATCATCATCATCATCATCATCATCATCATCATCATCATCATCATCATCATCATCATCATCATCATCATCATCGGCAGCAGCAGCCGCAGCAGCCCGCAGCAGCCCGCAGCAGCAGCAAGTGAAGGAAAGACGAAGTGCAGGAGCAGGGGCAGGAAGAAGTGCAGCAGCAGCAGCAGCAGCACAAAGTGAAAGAAAGACGAGGAGCAGGAGGACGAGCAGGAGGAGGAAGAAGTATCATCATCATCATCATCATCATCATCATCAGCAGCAGCAGCAGCAGCAGCAGCAGCAGCAGCAGCAGCAGCAGCAGCAGCAACGGAAGAGACCGTTTGGAACTCCTTCCGTCACGCACGTGGGAGCTAAGTCCAAAACCTTGATGAATGAAAGAGTGAGGTAAAACGGAGGAGAAGGAGGAGAGGAGAGGAGAGGCAGAGGCAGAGGTAGAGGCAGAGGCAGAGGCAGAGGCAGAGGCAGAGGCAGAGGCAGAGGCAGAGGCAGAGGCAGAGGCAGAGGCAGAGGCAGAGGCAGAGGCAGAGGCAGAGGCAGAGGCAGAGGCAGAGGTAGAGGCAGAGGCAGAGGCAGAGGCAGAGGCAGAGGCAGAGGCAGAGGCAGAGGCAGAGGCAGAGGCAGAGGCAGAGGCAGAGGCAGAGGCAGAGGCAGAGGCAGAGGCAGAGGCAGAGGCAGAGGCAGAGGGAGGAGGGGGGAGGGTAGGAGGCAGGAGGCACAAGATTATGAGGAGGAAGAAGGGAGGAGGATTCAGTTAAGATAGCTCTATTTTCACCTCCTTTGTCAGCCTTGCAACCCTGATGATGTGAGTCAACAACAGTGAATGTCGCCAGCGCGCTCCCTCCTCCCCTTCCCTCCTCTGCTCTCCTCCTCCCCCCCGCCCTCGGAACCCCCACCTGCTCTACCTCGTGCTCTCTTTCTTTGTGAACGCAATTGCGGCAGCAACAGCGTAAACCCCCGCGATCCCCGTCAAGAAAGTAGAAGTTCTGCCAAGGCGTAAGAAGATTCTCAGAGCAATGAAACATGGATAGATTCTGAATCTCTTTCCCCCCCTCCTCCTCATCCTCTTCTCTCTTCTCTTCTCTCTCCCCCCATCTTCTCCCCTCTCCTCTTTCCTTGCTCTTCTCCTCCCCTCTCTTTCCTCACCTCAACGACTTTCCTGGAGGTTTTGACATTCTGAGAGCAGCACTGATGTAAGCTTCAGACTTGTCCAAATATTCTTGCTGCTCAGAACGAATCAAGAACCAAGCCATGATGTTGACAACATAGAACAACAGAACAAGATGTAAAGGGAGAAGCAGAGAGTGAGAAGGAGGAGGAGGAGAGAGAAAAAAGTGAGGAGGAGGAGACGGAGCAGGATGAAAGGCTGAATCTCACCTTCTGCGAGACGAGGGGACAAGTCGTCGTTGCAAGTCTCCAGTACATATAAGCAACACCAGCAGCACCTGCAAGGAAATGAAATGAGAGAGACAAAACATTCATCAGAAGCATCACGATCATCAAAATCTGCATCGTCGTCATCACCATCACCATTATCCTCACTTCTATCACCACCACTCACAACAACTTCTCGTTCATCATCGTCATCAATAGCAGTAGCTGCTGCACAGGCAGCAGAGGCAGAAGCAGAGGTAGCAGCAGCAGCAGCACCTGTATAAACACTTGGGTCTTTCATCTCCAACTGAAATCAAAGCATCATTTCCATCATCTAATTTTGCTCCTCTCACCAACTCACACCGCTCTCCCCACCCTTCACTTTTCAGCATGTTCTCACCCTGGTCTCCTTGCTCTCCTCTTCCTCGTTCTTCTTTCTATCTCCCTCGTTGCCCTCTCCCACCCATCCTTCCCTCCTCCCCTCCCCTCCCCTCCCACGCTGAGCGATCACCTCCCTCACCGCTGCTCGGGTCGGATAATATTTTTCCATCATGCTCGGGATCTTTGAGAGTTCTTCCGCGAACATTTTCTGGCAAACGCTGGAGTCTGCAGCAGTCGTCGATGAAGATGGCAAAAGACCAGGAAGTCACTGAACCTGTTGGGAGAGAAGGCAGCCATGTAGGAGGGTGAAATCGAAGGCTCGCAGCTTCACCTGACATCCTGAATTCCATCTCATCGTAAGAAATGATTCTGACTTGCTCCATCGCTCCAGCGTGCCCCTCTCTGCCTTCCTCTTTCCCTCTCCCCCTAGTCAATCCGTTCTTGTCGCATTCCCATGATTTCCCAGTTTTCGTTTCTCCATCTTCTCCTCTCATCCCTGTCCTCCTCGCTTCTGCTCTCCATCTCTTCTTGTGTATCCACCCTTCCTCTTCTTCTCCTCGTCCACCACCACCACCACCACCACCACCACCACCACCTCCTCCTCCTCCTCCTCCTCCTCCACCACCACAACCTCCTCCTCCTCCTCCTCCTCCTCCTTTTCACTAACGCGTTCATAGTGCTAGTTTGTCTTAGAGGGTCGCACCTCCAGGTACCGGTATTTTGACAGTCAAAAGGAGGGGTGATGATATTGGACATATGAAGAGCGGGTAGGCACAAATAAGGGAAGATGGAGGGAGAGGAATGAACAAGGAGAGGAGGGGGAAGGAGGTGGCAGGGCTAGAGGGGAGGGTACTGGTCGACGGCTTCAAGTATGCAGACAAGCAGGTAGAGGCCTTCTTTCTCTCCCACTTCCATGGCGATCACTACGACGGCCTCTCGGAGAACTTCGATGGTCCCGGGAGGATCTACTGTACCAAGACTACAGGGGACCTGGTGGTTCAAGAGCTGAAGGTCAGGAAGGAACTGGTCGTGTGCTATGAGTATGGAGAATCTGCGCATGTATGTGGAGCTAAGGTCACCTTCCTGGACGCGAATCATTGTCCAGGAGCTGCGCTTTTGCTATTTGAGTTGGAAGACGGTACGGTTCACTTACACACAGGGGACATGCGATATGACAAGAAGATGAAGGAGTATCCTGAGCTTGTCTGTAGGAGAGGGCTCATCGACCGCGTGTACTTGGATACTACTTACTGCCATCCCAAGCACGTGTTTCCTGGACAAGACAAGTCCATCGACATCATTGCGTCAGACGTGGTGGAGTTCTTGCAGAAGGGAAGCACGCAGGATGAGCAAGAAGCAATCGATGGAGCACAAGAGAATCGAGATGGAGATGATCCAAGTCGTCGTCTTGTTCTTCTCAGTGCATACAAGATTGGCAAAGAGCGCGTGATATGCGAGGTTGCTCGAAGAGCCAAGGCGAAAGTTTACGTCGATGAAGCCAAAATGCGTGTGATGAGATGTTTGAGAATGTCTGAAGAAGATCTCTCTGTCTTCACCTGCAACATGAGGGAGAGTCAAATTCACATCTGCAGGTAATTGATTGGTTCCTTTCCTCTCCTCTTTCTTCGCGCTTTCCTTCGCTACCTTGCCCTAGGTTGATGTGATTAACAGGATGGGATTTGCGGGGGATATTTGGCCATTTTTCCGTCCAAACTTTGTGAATATCGAGCGGTACATCAAAGACAACGATCTTCCCTTCACTTCCTGCATGGCATTCATTCCCACGGTGAGCAAATGCAGAGAAAGGAGATATGTGGCTCGAGGTTCACAGAGAAATACAAGGTTGAAAATAAGAATGGTACGCTCGATGAGAGGAGTTGATATCGTTAGACGAGGATTGTATTGATTTCAGCCTCCACCCTCACGTCAACCCCAATGTTGAGATTCGTTGACAGGGTTGGGCTGATAGCAGCAACTACAACAAGAAGAATTCGTTGCAATTCAAGGGGAACTTTTCTGTCAAGTGTGTCCCATACAGCGAGCACTCAAATTACAATGAACTCGTCGAATTTGTTGAATTCCTAAGGTCTAGCATTATCAGTATTCCTCCTCCATCACTCTCCTCCTCCTCCTCCTCCTCACTCTCCTCCTCCTCCTCCCTCTGCTCCTTCTCCTCTTCCTCTTCCTCCTCCTCCTCCTCCTCCTCCTCCTCCTCCTCCTCGCCTCCTCCTCCTCGCCTCCTTTTTTCCCCCCCCCCCCCCCCCTCTCCCCCCCCCCTCTTCTCAACCTCCACCTTTTCTCTCCCTCCTCCTCGTCCTCGTCCTCGTCCTCCTCGTCCTCGCCCTCCTCCTCCTTTCCTCTCTCATCTTTCTTCATCCCTGCACCAACATCCTTGCACGTGTATTCTTCTGCTGACCTCCTCAACAGACCGAGGAACGTGTTCCCAACCGTCTTCACTGATGAGAAGGTGAGAAGAGGAGGAGGAATCGCCTGCTGGTTCTCCTTATATCTTCTCAGGCACGCCGGACAATGATCTCCAGGTTCTCTCGCTATGTCGACAGCAACGCCGTGAAGAAAGCGTTCGTCACCTCGATGTTTGCGGGAGCTGGAGGCAAAGTCAAGGACGAGAGCGGGAAGGGGAAGGAGGACAGGGGGAAGAAGGAGGTGAAGAGAGCAGCGAACCGGGTGAAGGAGGAGAGATCGGAAGGGAGGAGACTCACGTTGGTCAAGGAGGAGGCAGTTTTTAGCAGTTGCGACGTGATTGACTTGTGCGGCGACGACTCGTCCAGTGGAGGGGAGGAGATGAAGGTCAGTGAGGTGAAGGTGGAGGTGAAGGAAGAGGAGGGGGTGGGGGAGGGGGAGGGGGAGGGAGATGCTGTCAAGCGAAGCGACGGAGCAAGAGGGTCGAGGAAGAGACTACAAGTAATCGACGTGCCTGAGAAGAAGAAGCAGAAGCAACAGCAGACGCTGTCTACCTTCTTCTCACCTGCTGGAGTGAGGGATTGAAGGTGCTGTTACTGCAGCAAGGAAGTGCATGAGGGAGGGGGAGGAGATTCGTTGTATACAACAATTTATTCATTTTCATCGAAATCTTTCGAAGAAGGCAAGAAAACTTCTACCTCCCATGCTGTTAACTCCCCAGCATCCTCCCCTCCCTCTTGCTTCCTCCAGCTCTCGCTCCGCCTCGATTACTTCCTGCCACATATTTACATCCTCCTCTCGACGTCTCCTCCTCCCCCTTCAGAAACAAGAGAGACGGCAGGGAGAGGAGCGTCAGTCTTCGGGGGTGATGACCACAGGATCGCCGGGGCGCCACATGGCGGGCATCTCCGGCATGGTCACAGCACAGTTGAAGTTCTCGTCGAGGTCCCCGAGCACTTGAATGTTCTTCTCCTTCCACGAGCTCTCCTTGATGCACATGGAGAAGGGCTGGATCACGAACTGCTTCTTGCGGGGCCTCGCAGGCTCCTTCATCACCTCGTCCTCCTTGTCCTCCGCGTCGGCTTCACTCTTCTCCTGCTCGGCGTCCTGCAGCGGGTAATTCCAGATCTTGAGCATCTTCTCCTCCATCTCATCCTCGGGCGACTGTCGCTTCCCCAGGTTGGTGTCCACCTGGCTGGCTGCCATCGCCTCCGACAAGTCCAGCTGTATCACTGCCGAGCTGCTCTGAACCGGCTCTCGCTCCACCCGTTTCGGCCGAACGGCGGAGAAAAGGCGACTGCGGGCCATGACATCGGAGTGAGGAGCGGGAGGAAGCGCTCCGACGAGAGGCGTGTTGGGCTCCCAGCCCTCCTGCGCCGAGGAGGTGTAGCTGATGACATGCGCGTACTTGATCAGATCCTCCACCTCCACTTCCACCACCCTCTCAGTGTTCGAAGAAGTCTTAAGGGCCTCCTGCAGGACCCCAGCTGCATCCTTGAGGCTTCGACCGAACGTCTTGAGCGCTGCATCGCTGTCATCGATCTTGGACTTGACATCGTCGATCTTCTTCTTCACTTCGACAATCTTGTTCAGCTCCGCGACGTTTTCTCGCAGCTCCACCTGGAACGAGCAGAGCAAGTGGAGGAGCCCGTCGCGCTGATTCGTGAGCGACTCAAATTTCTCCACTTCTTCCTTGGCTGTCTTCGACGTGTGCTGCAGGTTTCGGAAGATTTCTTTGGCCACATCTCTCATCTTCGTCAAGTTTGAAACAGCACGAGCCTTTAGGTTAGTTCTAACGTTCTGTAGCGCGCTAGGTTGTCCCGACATCGTAACGAATGTCTCAGGAAAAACAAGTTCTAGGCTTATGAAAAACTATCAGATCTGATCGGACTGTTAACGAAGGATTCAAGCGCTCGGTAGCAAGATCCTCAGGAAGAGCGCATCCGGATCAGAATCAAATGCTCCTGCCTCCCCGATCTCAACGTCCAGTCGGTCCCAAGCTCACAAGAACATCCGGATAACACCGAGCACCTTCAACACACACCAACTTCACGGCTCGAAGCTTCACAAGGCATGGATCATGTGCAGCTCGTTCTTCTCACCCAAGACACTCCAATCCAAGCTCCCTCTGTCAACTGAGAAGTGAAGTGTCAGCAACACTCATGATGTAAGTGTGTAAACAAAAGTTGTTTGTACAATGAAAGAGAAAGTCAAACTAAGCATGCAACCGAAAGTTTGGTCAAGAACAGAGATCATGCATTCTCCAACAATCCTCGAATGTTTACAGAACATATGGGGCGCGGGGGATACCACTCATGCAAAATCGTTCAAATTTACAACGGCAAGGACATGGACAGAAGAATAGGAGAAGAAGCCAAAAACATGTTTCACAAGAAGGAACCATGATAAGCAAGAGATAGAGAACACATACCAAGGATGAAAAACTGATAGCAGTCAAAATATCTAACGTGAAACTCAGGTTGGTCTTAACAAGCAATTAGCTTTTGATGAGAGATATTTTCCATGTGGATGAACACAAGGACACAAATATGATTGATAACGCATATTTTTTTGTGTTTGCACTGAGATTTTACATCAGGTCCATGACAAGATCTCTCTGGGTCCCAAGAAAGGTTGCCAACACATTCAAGGCAGGATGAAGTCGGTACCAAGCATCTTCAGTGCAAAGCAGAGATCGAGCATCTATCAAAGAAAGCGAGCGAGCGGGTCAGGAGGAAGGCCAGTCACGTCATGGAAGTGGAAGGAGGGGGAGGGGGAGCGGCAGCGGTCGCATGAGGAGGCAAAGATTGAGGAACCGCCGCTGCCGCCATCGGACGCGGCTGAGGGGCGGCGCGAGCAGAAGCTCAATAACGCGGAATAACGTTTGTAACGTCATATAACGGTTAATTTTGAAACGGAGACTTGCCAGTGTGGCACTCAGTGACTGCCGCCCGTCGCGGGCCCGGCCGCCGGGCACACAGGCTGCTGGCAGTGCGGCGGCACTGCCGCAGTGCGGCACCGCGGTACTGACCTAACTTCCTAGGCGGCCCGGACTCCGGTGGTCCGACGGCGTACTACCGTGTACTTTGTCAGTCACGAAAAATCGTGTACACGGTGGCTAGGTGCGGTCCCGGCCGGGCCGGAGCCCGGCCCGCGGCCCGGCCGCCCGGCCTGTCACACGGAGGCTCAGAGTCACCGACGCGTTCCTGCAGGGACTCCGACTCGCGGCCGTCGGCGGCGACCCGGCAGTGGCGGGGGCCGCCGGGCGCGGCGAACCGTTGCCCGGCCGGGCGGTAAGTTCGTTACAATAAGAAACTGATGTAACGCTCCTTTCCGTTGCAACATGGGAGTCATGGACGGGGTCATCTTAATGAGGGGTCCTTTGACTTGATATGAAGCTTTTCTGTGGGGTGGGGGTTAACATCTGTAGGGGTAGGGGTTCCTCTTGCCGATCGGTTGAAAATGCTCGATCGAATTTCCAATGAGCATCTTCAGCAGCTGCTTCAACTTCGCCTTCCTCTTTCCTCGTCTCGTCCTCCCTTGCACACATACACACTCCTCAACCCGATCCTTCTTGACATCTCTACGTCCCCCGTTGCATTGTCATGTGCTCCCTGGACGCTTTTTTTCAGTCTTGGTACTCTTTTCTTGCTCACAAAAACCTCTATTTCCCTGCTCCATATGCCCCTCATGCTCTCAATAGCAACATAACCGAATATAGCATCTTCTATCTCTTTGCCCCTCCTTTTCATCATCTCACTGGCAACATACACTGGAGCACTATTCATTTTAGCTTTCCTGCCAACTTTCTCCAGCACAAGAGAAAAATTGTGAAAATGTGTTTGTATACTAAACTGATGGCAGAGCTCGTCCTCTCGATGAACCTACCGCTCAAGAATTAGACTTGATAGCGCGAAACATGTCCTCTCGTGGTAGAACTCAACCAAAAGAAAAGCACAAGGTAGAGGAGCGGGAGCGAGGGTTCGAAGTTCGTTCTGCGCCAGGTCAGACTTTGCCCTTGCTGAGGGTGTGGAGATGTGGAAAGTGTTTTGACTGCTGTAAACAGCTCCTCTGCCTCGTTACGATGCTCTCCGCGACACAAACTTGCGGCAATACTTCGAATCCAAGACAGTGCAGAAGTACTTGCAGAAGATGGGATGGGTAGACAAGGAGGGAAAGATTGTCGATCTTGACAAATTCCGGTGAGGGTGTGGACACATGTTGGCTGGTAGTCGCTGAGAGAGATGGCAGGGGAAAACTTAACATAATCGAACAAGAGTTCAAGTATGCAGAGAAAACTGAGTTCTGGCGGCTGAAGGAGGAGGAGGAGATGCGTCGAACTCACCAGGCGAGGAGGGAGCGAGCGCTAGAGGAGGCGAAGAAGTTGGAGAGAGCCAACAGAATCCGAGAGGAGAACAGGATACGACGAGGAATAATCTCCGCTGTCAAGAACCAATCTTCGCACGAGCTCAAGAAGCTGACCCACGACATGTCAGTCATCTTCCTCCTCCTCCACCTCCCCTCCTCCTCCACCACCACCACCACCTCCTCCTCCTCCTCATCATCATCATCATCACCATCTTTCCTCCCCTCTCCTCGCTCCATGTCCCTTCGTCCGTTCCTCTTTTTGACCCTCTTCCTCCTCTCCTTCTCTGCTTCTCTCCTCCTCCTCTGCCTTCTCTTTCTGATTCTCTCTTCTATCACAGCGGGAAGACCAAGGTTGTTGAGAGCGGCAAGGACGAGCAGGAGAAGGAGGGAAGGAGGGAGCAGGAGCAGGAGAAGGAGAAGGAGGGATATGACGAGGACTTCTCGCCAGAGGAAGACGTCCACGAGGACACGGAGGAGGCAGACGAGGCTGGCGGATTCTTTGTTACTCAGCATCCGGGTGACTGAACGGAGAGAGAGAGGGAGGAGGAGGAGAAGCAGCAGCAGCAGCAGCTGAAGGAAGAGCAGGAGCGGAAGGAGGGGAGGAGGTGCGGAAAGAATCAACTAGTTTTAATTGACGTATCTTCACCTCTTTCCCCCGCCATCTCCGTCGCCTGCAGTCGCTGCTTCCTACCCACCTCCTGCAACTCCAAGGCCGAAGGACCCGTCTTGCTTCCCTTGACCAAGGGGGACGAATCTTGAGGATGGATTAGCACGGTACCTCAGAGCAAGTTTACAACCTCTTCGTCCTCCTCCTCTGCTCTGCTCCTGTTTCAGACTCACACTCCTCGTCAAGCGCTGTACTGCCTCCACCTGTTGTCATGCTCAGAAATACCTCCTTGCTGTCCTCCTCCTCCTCCTCTCCGCAGCCCCACCCCCTTCCGTCTCTCCCTCCTGCCACAATCCTCCTCCTCCTCCTCATTGTCATCGTCTTCCTCCTGCTCCTCCTCCTCGTACCCCATCTGACGTCCGAACTTGAAGTCGCTCCTCCTCCGCATCCAACTCATTGGGGATCACGTTGGCAATGATGGGAATCTGTGGAAGCGATGAGAGATGTAGATGATAAGCGAGAAAACAAGCAGGAGCAGGAGCAGGAGCAGGAGCAGGAGAGCCAGGACGAGGACGAGGAGCAGGAGCAGGAGCAGGACGAGGACGAGGAGGAGGAGAGCAAGTAGTAGTAGTAGGAGGAGGAGGAGAGCAAGTAGGAGGAGGAGGACGAGGAGAGCGAGGAGGACGAGGAGGACTCACAGGAAATTGGTCGAGCTCAGAGAGGACCAAGAATTTGTCTTGAAAAGAGCCCAGCTGTGTCGCCTGCACCTCAACCTCGATGCTCACGCTCATGCCCGCGGCGATCTGACAGGGTGAGTAGAGGACGGACACCTGAGATAAGGAAATCAAACACGAGGAGAGGAGAGGAGAGGAGAGGAGAGGAGAGGAGAGGAGAGGAGAGGGAGAGGGGAGGGGAGGGGAGGAGAGGAGAGGAGATATGAGAGGAGCAAAGGAGGAGAGGAGGGGACGAGGAAGGGGGATGCAGATGCTCTACATTCGAGCTGCTTGGCTGGCGAATGCGGAAGCGAGAGAAATCAACTCCCGTGTTGACAACTGTCAACCTCGACCTGCTCTGAATCAGACATCCCTCCTGCTCCATCCCCTTCCCCCCATCACAAGACTCCTCCTCATCTTCGTCCTCGTCCTCGTCCTCGTCCTCGTCCTCGTCCTCGTCCTCATCTTCGTCCTCGTCCTCGTCCTCGTCCTCCCCTCCTCTCTTGCCGTCCTTCCTCCCTTCCCTCTCCTCTTTCCTCTCTTCTCTCCCCTCTCCTTCCTTTCACCTGTACACGTAGCCTGCATAAAGATCTCCAAAGTCGACGAGGCCTGAGAAAATGCTTAGGGGTGAAGAAGAGTGTTGGAGGTCGAAAAGAGACAGAACAAAGCAAAACCGATGATGATGATGATGATGATGATGATGATGATGATGATGATGATGGAGATGATGATGATGATGATGATGATGATGATGATGATGATGATGATAATCAGGAGGAGGAGGAGGTGATGATGGTGGTGGTGATGGTGTTGGTGGTGGTGGCAGTGATGGTTCAGGACGGGAGAGGAGGAAAGGAATTCCTACCTGGCATGCAGGTGAAAACTTTGCCTCTGGCCACTTTTTGTTTGATCGGAGCTACTGAAAAAGATGAGAAAATAGAAAGAAACGAGGGGGAACAGTACTAGGAGGAGGGATAGTTCTGGAGACGATCAGGAGGAGGAGGAGGAGGAGGAGGAGGAGGAGAAGGAGGAGGAGGAGGAGGAGGAGGAGGAAAACCTTGAGTAATTTCCGGTGTTGAGGAAGCAGAAACACGAAAAGAAGACTCAGACGTGTCTGCGATCAGCATAAAAGGAAGGAGAGGAGAGAGAAGAACGGAAGAGTTGGAAGAGCAGAGGGGGGAAGCGAAGGACAAAGAGAGAAGAGTGGTAGTGGTGGAAGGGGAGGGAGGAGAAATGAGAGAGGAGAGAGGAGAGAGGAGAGAGGAGAGAGGAGGGAGAGAAGAGAAGAGAGAAGAGGAGTGGAGGAGGAGTGGATGATTGTGGGAGATGAAAGGCGACAGCAGCGAGGAAGGGAACGCAAAGGGAGGAAGAGGAGGAGACCTGTATGGAGGGCAAACGTCGTCTTAAGAGAGGCCTAGAAGAAAAGTGAGCAAGGAGTACGCGCTAATGAGGGGAGGGAAGGACGATGGTGGGAGAGGAAGGAAGAGAAGGAGCGGAGAGAGGAGAGAAGAGAGAAGGAGGAGAGTAGAGAGGGGAGAGGAGAGAGGAGAGAGGAGAGAGGAGAGAGGAGAGAAGAGAGAGGAGGAGAGGAGAGAGGAGAGAGGAGAGAAGGAAGAGAGTAGAGAGGAGAGAGGAAAGAAGGAGGAGAGGAGGAAGGGAGGGGGAGAAGGCAAGTGGGGAGGAGAGGGAGGGAGGAGGGGAGGAGGGGAGGAGAGAAAGAAATTTACAGGTGCGATGGATTGAGAAGTCACTTGCTTGTTGACATTCACTTGAGATAGAGCCTGGATGCCTAATTACTATTGCGTTCCTGCTCCTGCTCCTGCTCCTGCTCCTGCTCCTGCTCCTGCTCCTTCCTCACTGTTCCATCCTCTTCCTCCACCTCCTCTCTCCTTCCTACTCCTCTTTGAACCAGCTCTCTCCCTCCTCGTCCCTCCAGTCCTCTCCCTCCTCACCTGAGCTATGCGTGCTCGCACTGTCTGCTCGCTGGTCAAGTTCTCATCCGAGCGATCGTCGCGCACGTAGAGAGCTTCTGCCTCCTCCTCCAGCTTCTTCTTCCATGCCCTGTGCTGCTCCACTACGTTCCTGCCGTGACGTTGAGCGGGAGACGGAAGGAGGAGGAGAAGCAGTGAAGAAAGTCCATGCTGGTGGACGAGCACAAGAATGAAAAGTAGGGGTGGGACAGGAAGAAGGGGTGAGGAGGAGATGGTGGAGCAGGAGCAGGAGCAGGAGGAGATGGTGGAGCAGGAGGAGGAGGAGGAGGAGCAGAAGCAGGAGGAGGAGGAAGAGGAGGAAGAGCATACCTGACGAGGATCATTTCTCTTTTGGCTCAAGGTCGGGAACATGACAAACTTCTGGAGGCAAATTCCCATCCTCTAAGATGAGGCGTGAGAAA